GTTGAGCAGTGGTTTGTAGTTTTCCTTGAAGAGGTCCCTTACGTTCCTTGTGAGTTGTATTCCTAGGTATTTTATTCTTTTTGTAGCAATTGTGAATGGCAGTTCATTCTTGATTTGGCTCTCTGTAAGTCTGTTATTGGTGTAGAGGAATGCTTGTGATTTTTGGACATTGATTTTATATCCTGAGGCTTTGCTGAAGTTGCTTATCAGTTTCAGGAGTTTTTGGGCTGAGGCAATGGGGTCTTCTAGGTATACTATCATGTCATCTGCAAATAGAGACAATTTGGCTTCCTCCTTTCCTATTTGAATACCCTTTATTTCTTTTTCTTGCCTGATTGCTCTGGCTAGAACTTGCAGTACTATATTGAATAGGAGTGGTGAAAGAGGGCATCCTTGTCTAGTGCCGGATTTCAGAGAGACTGCTTCCAGTTTTTGCCCATTCAGTATGATATTGGCTGTTTGTTTGTCGTAAATAGCTTTTATTAGTTTGAGATACGTTCCATCAATACTGAGTTTATTGAGGATTTTTAGCATAAAGTGTTGTTGAATTTTGTCAAAGGCCTTCTCTGCATCAATTGAGATAATCATGTGGTTTTTGTTTTTGGTTCTGTTTATGTGGTGAATTACGTTTATAGACTTGCAGCTCTATTTGTTTGACAGACATCAGCTGGTGGTCCTTTCCCTGTCCACTGGCGTAGAGACCAGGTCGCTATGTAGACACACCATGAACCATTTCCCACTGAGGGTCTGTGCCACCCCAGGGGCTTATTACCTTCTGCTCCTTCTGGAAATCTTCCCCATCTCCCCCCCAGTCCAGGTAATTCTCCTTTCCTCTATCCTAGCAGTTTCTCCACTTGGCCATTGCTCATTGCTGTCCCTTCCCAACACTGCTTGCCTTTCTACCATCTCTCTACTTGTTTGGGACAATACTACAGTGTCTCATTGTCCTCTTAGTCTTCCTCTTAGAGTGAGTTTTGAAATACCTAGCAAGGACAGAGTACACATGAATAGCTCAGTAAATACCTGACACCATTGAAATGTGCAAAAAATACTTTTTTCCGCATGAGAAATGTTAACATTTATTACGTGCTAGTGTGTGGTTATCTAGGAGGAGTTAATAATTATCATCCCTGAATAAAGATGTAAAATATCATGAATATGGTTATGTATGTACACAGAGTAAAAAGAGGAGATTCCAAACATTAAAAGATGAATAGAAAGTGAAATACAGTTATATGCTACAAATAATGTATTAAGGAGGAGAAATTTGATAACTCATGAATTAGCTCAAATTAGTTATTTTTTTTTTCCTACCACATTTTGGCTTTATTGTTAATTGTTTGCAGTATTGATATGTTCAGTTTTAATTACATAAACTCATTTGAATGTCTTTAATTTTTCATTTAATGTTAGGAATGAACTAGCAGTTCTCTAAGAAATTTCTGATCAAGGCATGAAACTAACATTAAACAATGAAGTTGTTCAAATTATAATCATGAGTATTTTTACATGTTCTTTTCTAAACAATGAGGTAAAAATTCAGTGTATTTTAAGATAGATGACATAAATATATGATAAAAGGGTCTATGGTTTCTAAGATTTGCTAACCATCCTTAGCAGTGATTCTTAATATTTCTAAGACAAGCATGGCTAGAAGTGGGGTTAGAGCCACACAGTAAAGAGTTAAACTCAGCCCATGTAGCTAATGATACTCTAGGGTCAAGTTTAAAGGCATAAGAAAGGCTTATCCTACTACTTTTGATTTCATGCTTAGTTCTTTATATTTGGGCAGATCAGCCTAAGAGCTTACTGTAATTATCTCTGTTAAATTCAAAATAAAATATTATGCTTTTTGGCAGGCTCAACATCTAGAAATAGTGGAAAGAGAATGTTAATATTCTTTTAAGGAAGTCTAAGACATTTAGTTTATTCCCTAATGGAAATACTTTTTGTGTGTGTTTTCTTTTAAAAGAAAAATTGTGTTTCCATCCTCAAAAACTTTACTAAGCCATGTTTCTTATTATCAAACCCAAATTTAAAATTGCCTTTTTATTTCTTTATGTCTAAATCTAGCCTTAAAGGAAGATATCTTCAAAATGCATCCTTTCCAAGGGTAGAAAAGGTTCATGGTAATTGTATAGTTTTATATTGTGCATTTACAAGTATATTGGGAAGTGCTTATTAAAGTTCTTCTTTTTGATAGTGTCAGTTGATTTTCACTAATGTTTGTTTTATAACTACATATTGCGGAAATACTCAGAATATTCACATGTTAAGAAGAGGTTTTTATTTTGTATTAATTTCTATTTTTTAAGAAAGAGAAGATTCTGGTGAAGTTTTTTGTAAAATAGTCATATCTCTATTTTGAATGCATAGTAGATTTTTAAATGTTTGGCTATTTGAGTTTAAAGCTCTAGATTTAAAAACAAAAAACTTCACCCTGGAGAAAGGCTTTATGAAAAAAAATATAAAGTCTTTTGTGAAAATAAGGACATTTTGCATATGCTTACTTTTTTTTTTTTCAGCCGGAGTTTCGCTCTTGTTTACCCAGGCTGGAGTGCAATGGCGCGATCTCGGCTCACCACAACCTCCGCCTCCTGGGTTCAGGGAATTCTCCTGCCTCAGCCTCCTGAGTAGCTGGGATTACAGGCACGCGCCACCATGCCCAGCTAATTTTTTGTATTTGTAGTAGAGACGGGGTTTCACCATGTTGACCAGGATGGTCTCGATCTCTTGACCTTGTGATCCACCCGCCTCGGCATCCCAAAGTGCTGGGATTACAGGTGTGAGCCACCTCGCCTGGCCTGCATATGCTTACTTAAACTTGTGTGCACATGTGCATATGTGTGAGAGATAGAATAAAAAAAAATTTGTGAATATATATTTATGTTTTTAACATCTGTAGCCTCGACTGTTAAGCAAGTGTCAATGGCTGGGTCATTCAAAAGTCAAGAAGTCTGCAGTTTACTATCTTACCTCTTTGTTTTCCCACACCTTACCAAAATCTTTGTTTTCTAACTGGCATTTGTACATATTATTCTGGACTTACTAATAGGACTACATAGACATCAGTTTTTTATATGTGTCAAGTATCCCAAGATCACCCCTTCTCACCCCAATTCAGTGCTTTGTTCGTAGGACTCACAGAACTCAGCGTAGTCCTACTTGTAGCTATGATTTATTACAGTGAAAGCATACAAAGCAAAATCAGCAGAGGAAAGGCACATATGGGGTAAAGTCCAGAGGAAACCAGACTTTCCAGACTTCCAAATTTTCCCAGTGGAGTCACACAGGGTGCACATAATATGTCCAGCAGCAAATTATGAGAATACCTATGAAATGTCCACTGGCAAAGTTCATTAGATACCCCATGTTCAAGGTTTTTGTTGAGGGCTGCTCACGTACGTACCCTCTGCTTAGAATATACTAAATCCCAAACTCCCAGAAGGAAAGCGGAGGTGCTGCCTAAGCCATATTGTTTACACACACAGTTTAGGCACAGCAACCACTTTTATCAGTTAAGTTGGTGGAAACATTTCCAAAAATCTAAGTTAATAGTTGCCAGCCAGTGATCAACCTTACAAGCAAAATATTTTAATATAACAGTACCAGGCCTGCTATGTTAATTCTTTTCTGGGGGGTGAGGAACAAAAGGTAATTTTAACCTTTCTTTAGCAGTATTTATTCCTTTAAGTCTGTCATTCCAGTAATTAACATCAATCATTTATGAAAGGTGAAATATTTTTACCTTGAGAGATGTTTAATGCCCTGTCCCATTTGTTGGTAATATCTAGTGGGTATAAGCCAATGTGTCCTCCAGCAATAAAATCATTTTATCTATTCATATACTACTGTCCTGATATTTTGATAATAGCACTATAAGAGTTTAGAAGCCTTATTTTTTCATAGTTTATTGACCAATTTTTATTGCTTTCATGAGACTTTAATAGCTTTCTGGAAATAATATGATAGTAAAGTTATTGATGTTTCAACCTGCAAGTGAGTTATAATTTGTAAATAAAATCTTTGGATTCCATATGTATAACTTCAGTACTACTTGAACTATAATATTAATATTTTAATGTCATTTATTAACATTATATTTTGGAGACTGGAAAATGATTGAAACTACATTGGAAACACAAATTCCTAGAGCTGGAAGAGTACACTTGAGCCTTTGATAAGCCATTGACTTCATGCTAGTCCTTGGCTGGGTATGGAGCTAACGTAGATAGGACAGGTGGTACAAAATAAAACTCCAGAGTGGGTGCTCCATACAGTTTTTAAGATCCTAAGTTTAGAGCATAATTATACTAACTATCCAAAAGCTGTCTTTTTTTTTAACCAATATTACCTATTTTACTGGTCTTTACACAGTAAGCTGTTTAGAAAACAGTTTAAAAATCTTTTATAAAGGCAAATGCTAAATCATCCTTTGGCTCTTTCTTTGCCAGATCGAGCCATCCTACTTTATTCAGCTTTTCTCAGTGAAGTTACAGGATAATAATTTGGCATGTTGAGGTGGGGGGAAACAACGCAGAAATACCAGCTTAGTGTTTTTTTGGTTTGAGATGGAGTTTACTCTTACTGCCCAGGCTGGAGTGCAATGGCCCAGTCTCGGCTCACCGCAGCCATCACTTCCCATGCTCAAGCAGTTCTCCTGCCTCAGCCTCCCAAGTAGCTGAGATTATAGGCATGCACCACCATGCCTGGCTAATTTTGTGTTTTTTAGTAGAGACAGGGTTTCTCCATGTTGGTCAGGCCGGTCTCGAACTCCCAACCTCAGGTGATCAACCCACCTCAGCCTCTCAAAGTGCTGGGATTACAGGCTTGAGCCACCAAACCTAGTCACCAGCCTAGTCTTAAATAGGCATTCTTATCCTGGAGGTCTGTGTTAAATTAAATGAGAATTCTCAGCATGTGCTTTTTTGCTTTATTTCAGTATTAGAGATAACAGTGACTGGTAACATACTTTATTTAATGTACTATTGTACTTTTAGGTTTATGTACAAGTTAATAAAGAAGCAGCAGATGATAAAAGTGTAGCAAAATCGGCACAGGAGTTCTTCCAGCGATTGGAAGAGGGCGATGTGCGAGCACTTTCACTGTGGCAAAAATTCCGGGACTTGAGCATTGAAGAGTATATTCGGATTTACAAGGTACTGGTTGACTCTCCCTTCTGCTTTTTCAGGATATGTTGCAGCTCTTGGCTGTTACCTGCATAGTAAAGTTACTTGTTAAGCTTGTGTTTTAAAAATAAATTTGTAGATGAATTTAAAATTAGGACTCAAATTTTGTTTTTTGGGCTGAAAGAACTGTAAAATATTCCTGAAGCAGTATCAGCTGGTATTCTCATACTTCATTTTTATCTGGGTTTTCTTTTCTATCATTTACTCACTTTTTCATATTTATTTTTTGTTCTTACACTTCCTTAGGCTGATATATGGTGATTAATAAGTGGATTCATTTAATAAACATTTGGTAGGTAGGAGATAACAGTGAATAGAAGAGGAAAACCCTTGCTCTTGTGGACCTTATATTCTAGCCTAGAGACAGAGCACAAACTGAACAAATTAAAGATAAAGCAAGAAACAAGCAACTATGTTTTTATTAGATGGTGCTAGATGCTAGCTGGGGAGATCAGGTATGCGGACTGTAGGTGGAATGAGGAGAGTTTTATAAGGAAGCCCATGTGAGTGGAGTAAATAAGCAAGATGAATGACAGGAGAAGGCTGAAGAGCTAGTAGCATATGGGGCATACTTCTAAAATTTCTCTAGGGCTGCCCAGTGCTTTTTGTGGTGATGGGAATGTTCTATATCTATGGCCATCTTCTTCAGTAGCCACTACCCACATGTGGCTTGAAGTGTAAATAGTGTGACAGAGGAACTAAATTCTCAATTTTGCTTAATTCCAGTTTAACAGTTTAGATCGTCACTTGGGCCTAATGATTACTATATTGCACAGCACAGTACCGTTGTGAGTACTTGACTGGTATAGTGGAAGCTATTAGGATGTTTGAGCAAAGGAGTGATTTTGTTGCTGTTTTATCTTCCCCCTGTGGAATTTCAGGAGATTTTTTTTTTTTTTTTAACAAAAATAGAGACGAGTCCTTGCCATCTTGCCCAGGCTGGTCTTGAATTCCTGTGTGCAAGTGATTCTCCTGCCTCAGCCTCCCAAAGGGCTGGGATTATGGGCATGAACCACCACACCCAGCCCTTGATTTAATTTTTTTGTTTGTTTGTTTGTTTGTTTTGAGCCAGAGTCTTGCTCTGTTGCCTAGGCTGGAGTGCAGTGGCACAATCTTAGCTGACTGCAACCTCCACTGCCCAGGTTCCAGTGATTCCTCTACCTCAGCCTCCTGAGTAGCTGGAACTACAGGTGCATGCTACCACCCCTGGCTAATTTTTCAGTTTTTTTTTTTTGTTTTGTTTGTTTTTTAACTAGAGACGGGGTTTCACCATGTTGGCCAGGATGATCTCGACCTGACCTCGTGATCCGTCCATCTCGGCCTCCCAAAGTGCTGGGATTACAGGCGTGAGCCACCTCGCCCAGCCCGGTTTAATTTTTATTGTGTTCATGTGTGTGACAGGTGGTAGAGCATCCTTAATTTTGCCTTAGGGTAAGAATAGGAGATTGAATTAACATTTGTTTGTCTGTTTCTGAACTCTTTTAGCGTCTGGGAATATATTTTGATGAATATTCAGGAGAATCATTTTATCGTGAAAAATCTCAAGAAGTCTTAAAGTTGCTGGAGAGTAAAGGACTCCTACTGAAAACAATGTATGATCAGGTTACTATTCTTTAGTAAAATTATTTGTTCTTTGAAATTGTTATTGACGTATCCTTTCAGTAAGGACAACAGAATGCAGTGCGCAGCTTTCTTGACATTTTTCATAGTGCTTTTTCCTGTTCAAAGTATTTCCCATATTCTATATTTTGCTGCCATAGCAAAAGCTATTAAGGTATAGAAAAAGGCTGTTACTTGTTTTTTATAAGGCTGGGAACTGACACAGAAAATATAAGTGACCTGCCTAAGGTCATACAACCTGTTAATAGTATAACTGAAAAAAGGAAATACATTTTATATCTCTTGACTCAATTTTACCTTCTAAAACTAAATCCCTGCCTTTTCAAAAATTATTTAAGGTGGCGTGTGAAAATAAGTATAATACAACAGGCTTTTAAAAGAGTAAAATGAGGAAAACAGGAAGTAGGGGCAGGAAAAGTAATATGAAGTCGGAGATGATGTTAGCATATCCCTCCTGGAATTCTATTTCCTTGTTTATGGTACATTTTTTTCTCCAAAAAAACAAAGTTATAATTGATGAATGACATCTTGTATATATTTATGGTGTACAACATAATTTGATATTTATATATACATGGTGAATGTTTAAATCAAGCTAATTAACATATCCATCACCTTACATACTTATCTATGAGGAGAACATTTAAAACTGTTAGCAGTTTTCAAGTGTTCTGTGCATTATTGTTAAATATACTTAGAATGCTGTACAGTAGATTTCCAGAACTTCTCCTGTTTCATAAAACTTTGTAGCCTTTAACCAACATCTCCCCCTTCCCTGCCCTTGGTAACCTCCATTTTGGTTCTCTACTTCTATGAAATAGAAGTTTTTAGATTCCACATGTGAGATTATTCATATTTGTTTTCTGTGCATCGCTTATTTCACTGAACATGTCCTTTCAGTTTATCCATGTTGTCACAAATGACAGGATTTCCTTCTTTTTTAAAGCTATTACCTGTTGTATATTTTAAAATCCATTCATCTGTTAGGGTTGTTTCATACCTTGGCTATTGTAAATAGTGTTACAATAACCATAGTAGGACAGATATCACTTGGACATACTGATTTCATTTTCTTTGGATGTATACTTAGATGTGAGTTTGCTGGATCACATGGTTCTGTTTTCAGTTTTGTGATGAACCTCCACATTGTTTTCCATAATGGCTCTACTAACTAACGTTCCTACCAACAGTGTACAAGGGTTTCCTTTTATCCACATCATTGCCAACATTTATCTTTTTTTTTTAATATAAAAGCCATCTTAACAGGTGTGAAGAAATGTCTCATTGTGGATTGCGGTTTTAATTTTGCATTTCCCTGATGATTAGAGATGTTCACCACCTTTTCATATATGTGTTAGCCTTTTGTATGTCTTCTTTTTGTTTGTTAGTTTAAGACGGATTCTCACTCTGTCACCCAGGCTGGAGTGCAGTGGCCGGATCTCGGCTCACTGCATCCTCTGCCTCCTGGGTTCAAGCAGTTCTTCTGCCTCAGCCTCCCTAGTAGCTGGGACTATAGGCGCTCACCACCACACCTGGCTAATTTTTATATTTTTAGTAGAGACGGTGTTTCACCATGTTGGCCCGGCTGCTCTTGAACTCCAGACCTCATGATCAGCCCACCTCAGCCTCCCAGAGTACTGGGATTGCAGTCATGAGCCACTACACCCACCCATGTCTTCTTTTAAGAAATGTCTATACAGGCCTTTGGCTCACTTTTTTTTTTTTTTTTTAAAGTTCTCAGGCACATATATAGGATGTGCAGGTTTGTCACATAGGTAAATGTGTGCTGCCCCGTCAACCCATCACCTAAGTATTAAGCCCAGCATGCATTAGCTATTTTTCTTGATACTCTCCCTCCCCCACCTCCCTGACAGGCCCCAGTGTGTGTTCTTTTTCTCCGTTTTCGTGTGTTTTCATTGTTCAGCTCCCACTTATAAGTGCGAACATGTGGTATTTGGTTTTCTGTTTCTGCATTAGCTTGCTGAAGATAATGGCTTCTTTGGCTCACTTTTTAATTTGGTTTTTTTGTTGGTAGTGGTGTTGGTTGGGTTTGGTTTTTTTGCTGTTGTTTTTCCATTGAGTTGAGTTTCTTATATATTTTGGATATTAACCGATTATCAGATGTATGTTTTCCAAGTAGTTTCTTTCAGGCTCTAGGTTGTTTCTTCATCTTATTGATTGTTTTCTTTGCTATGCAGAAGCTTTTATAGTTTTATGCAATCCCATCTGTCTATTTTTGCTTTTGTTGCCTGTGCTTTCAGGATTAGCTCCAAGAAATCTTTACCAAGACTTCAGTCTTTTCCTCTAATAGTTTTACAAATCAGGTCTTAGATGTGTCTTTAATCCCCCTTGAGTTGATTTTTCTACATGGTAAGCGATTAGGGTCTAGTTTCATTCATCTGCATATGGGTATCCAATTTTCCCAATGTCATTTATTGAAGAAACTGTCCTTATTGTGTTATTTTTGTACCTTTTTCAAAAATCAGTTGACCATAAATGTGTGGATTTGTATCTAGGCTCTCTGTTCTATTTTGTTGGTCTCTATGTTTTTGTGCCGGTATGATACTGTTTTGATTACTATAGATTATAGTAGATGTTGAGATTAGGTAGTGTGATGCCTCCAGCTTTGTTTTTTTTTTTTTTTTTGGTGGGGGGACATGGTCTGGCTTTGTCATCCAGGCTATGGTGTAGTGGTGCTATCTCGGCTCACTACAACCTCCGCCTCCAGGTTCAATCAATTCTTCTGCCTTAGCCTCCAAAGTGGCTGGGATTACAAGCACGTACCACCACACCCAGCTAATTTTTGTATATCTTAGTAGAGATGCAGTTTCACCAAGTTGCCCAGGCTGGTCTTGATCTCCCGGCCTCAAGTGATCTGCCTGCCTTGGCCTCCCAAAGTGCTGGGATTATAGGCATGAGCCACCACAGCTGGCCCAAGTTTGTTTTTGTTTTGTTTTGTTTTGCTTTGCTTAATATTGCTTTGGGGATTTGGGGTTTTTTTGTGGTTCCATATGAATTTCATGGTTTTTTTTTTCTATTTCTATGAAAAATGTCGTTGGAATTTTGATAGGGATTGCATTGAATCTATAGATTGCTTTTGGTGGTATGGACATTTAACAATATTGATTTTTCCTATCCATTAGTACAGAATACTTTTCCATTTATCTGTGTGTTTTGATTTCTTTCATCAGTGTTATATCGTTTTCAGTATATAGATATTTTAGCTCTTTGGTTAAATTTATTCCTATTATAATTTTATTGATGTTATTGTAAAAGGAATTTTTTTCCAGATAGTTTGTTGTTGTGTGTAGAAACACTACTGATTTTTGGCTGGGCACAGTGGCTCACACCTGTAATCCCAGCATTTTGGGAGACCGAGACAGGCAGCATGAGGTCAGGAGTTCGAGATCAGCCTGGTCAACATGGTGAAAACCCGTCTCTTCTAAAAACACAAAAATTAGCCAGGCGTGGTGGTGCACACATAATTCCAGCTACTTGGGAGGCTGAGGCGAGAATTACTTGAACCCAGGAGGTGGAGTTTGCAATGAGCTGAGATTGTGCCACTGCACTCCAGCCTGGGTGACAGAGTGAAACTGTCTCAAAAAAAAAAAAAATGCGATTTTATATGTGGATTTTCTATATTGCAACTTTATGAGATTCATTTATTCTAACAGTCTTTTGGCGGAATCTTTAGTGTTTTCTATTTATAAGATCATATTGCAAAAAAGAAAAAAAAAAAGATTATATTGCCTGCAGAGGCAATTTAACTTCTTTTCCAATTTGGATGCCTTTTATTTCTGTTTCTTGCCTAATTGTTTTCCAATGTAGCTTTTAGCTTCCTGTCAGCTAAACAGAGAAATACCAGCAAAAGAAGCCTAGATATCTATAATGTAGAGGCAAACCAATTGCTTAAGAGGCATGTCACTTCTCATAGAACCAAAGCAAAATTTCTCCTGTCATATTTATAAAGAAGACATGAAATGTGGTTAATAGCATCCTCAGTAATGTCCTTAAGGAAAATTATTGGATTGTCATATACAGATTCCAATTTTGGTCATGCAGGAAAGACAAAAATCTGTAGTTTTAATACTCGGGTACTTTGTGGCATGTTAAAAAATTAGCCCAATATTGAATGTTATAATACTATGAATTAGAAGGAGAATCTGTGACATTTCATAGTTACAATGCAGCTGCATCTCATTTTTCAACTAGGTATATTAAAGATTTTTAACATACCTTATCCTGAGTACCTTATCCGGAGCTACAGATTCAAAAGGGAGGATAACCAAATATTAATTACATTATACCCATTCATAAGAGATTCTCAGTCATATTCTTTTTTTCCATTCTTAGTTAAAGCTTGAATTAGCACTGCTTATTGCTATGTGGGAAATAAAAATACCTTCTGGTTTGCTAATGTTTTAGATATTATAATTTTAAAGGTCTGAATTTATTATGTTGCTTCAGAGTTACCTTTTTGCATTTCTAGAAAAGGAACTGCTGTAATAGATCTATCTGGGAATGGTGACCCCTCTTCAATTTGTACTGTAATGCGAAGTGATGGGACTTCTCTCTATGCAACCAGGTTTGTAGCTTCTGTGAGGGTAAACATTTCATTCTAAATCTGTTGCTTTCAGATTAAAAACTATTTACAATTAATTATGCATTATGGAACCCCACAGCTGACAACAGTATTTTATAAACTATAAAACTGAAGTACTTCATAATCAACTAAAAGTATGTTACAATGGCACCTTGGCAAGGAAATGTATACTAAAAGGTGACCATATTAGCTCAAGGGTTTCCTCATGCTTGTAAAGAACATCTTATATGCACATAAATACCAGACCTCATTGCGATTTGTTAAAACAGGCTGAGGGAGAAGGCAGCCATGGATTTTTCCATCCATCTCTGTGACTGACCTTTGTGACAGGGAGCAATCTCTTTATCAGTAAGAAGTGGGTTTATCAAGCACCCTTATTTCTGGGACAAAGCTAATAGGAAAGAGAAGGTATAATAATAAAATCCATACAAGCACTGCTGGCAAAAGTGTCTCCCAGGCCAGAATTTTATATTAGGTCACAACTCACTTTTGTAACATAAAATCATGATATTTTGTTGTTATTATATCAACTACCATAATTTGTTCCAAACAACTTTAAGCCACCAGTCAAATCTCTTAACTTCCCCTTAGGAATTTCATCTTTTACCTTCTATTAGTTTTTGATATTTTCCTTTACCAATTCTATGCAATTGGGATTAGGAAGTGAGAAGAACTTATATATCTTGTATTTTTCTAGATAAGCAAATATATGTAGCAAAAAGTTTTTTGTATTAACTGATTATTGCTAGACAGATTAAAGAAATAAACCCTTGCACAATGGTTATAAGAAGTATCCATTGAGAACAGAGGCTCTGTAACTATCTGGGTCTGGATGGTGTCTTTTTTGGGCTATCATTAGGTCTAAATTTTTCAACACCTATATTTTTCTTTGGAAAAAGAAATATCCTGTCAGAATAGAGGCTCTATGACATGAAGTCTCTGTAACTATCCTGACTTGGTAGTTTTTCAGGCTGTCATTAGATACAGACTTTTGTGTATATTTACCTTAACACCTGTACTTTCTTTTTTCTTTGGGAAAATAATTCTTTTTGCCACTTATTGAAATGTTTGATTTTTCACTTTGCTTTAATATCCAGTTGCTTCTGCCTTCTAGTGGGTTTCTTGTGGAATACCTTTGTTTGTGGGGTGTAAATTAAAAGAGTTGTTATAGCAGACAAAAGTGCAGGAGAATACTGAAAAGAGCAGAGTGTGAGGCTGGCGACCTGGGACTGTCATTTAACTCTCTGGGGCATGATTCTCTATTTTGTTAAATGAGAGATCTGGACTAAATGACCTGACACTTCTTTGGCTTTGAAATTCAGTTTCCACAAACTCAACCTAGAAATTTGTCTTACTCTTTTTTGTTTTTTCCTTGGATCAAAAAGTTTCTCTTTGTTTTGTCCTTGTCTCAAACCAAAAAAATATAACACAGGTGTCTATTTGTGATATCATTTTTGTGTTAATCTTCTATACAAGTGTTTCTCAACATTTTAAAAATTACAATTCCTCCAAGGAACCTTTTCAGCCATATTTTTCCTAATTGCCAATCCTCATGAAATTTTATCCCACAGATATTCTATATCTTTGTATATATTTTATGTGTATCTGTGGGTTATGCATGAAGAATAAATTTTTCTGTTGTCCAGTTGTAGTGGCTCATGCCTCTAATTTTAGAACTTTGGGAGGCCAGGGTAGGAGGATCTCTTGAGGCCAGAAGTTTGAAACCAACCTGGGCAATATAATGAGACCCATCTCTACAAAAAATTTGCAGTGGCTCATGCCTGTAATCCCTGCACTTTGGGAGGACAAGAAGGGTGGATCACCTGGGAGGTCAGGAGTGAAAGATCAGCTTGGCCAACATGATGAGACCCTGTCTCTATTAAAAATACAAAAAGTAGACAGGCATGGTGGTGTGCACCTGTAGTCCCAGCTACTAGGCAGGCTGAGGCAGGAGAATCTCTTGAACCCAGGAGGTGGAGATTACAGTGAGACTATATTGCACCAGTGCACTCCAGCCTGGGCAACAGAGCAAGACTCGGCTTTAAAATAAATAAATAAAAATTTTAAAAGTAATTAGCTTTGTGTGGAGGTGCACACCCGTAGTCCTACTTACTCAAGGAGGCTGAGGCAAGAGGATTGTTTGAGCCTGGGAGTTCACATCACTGCACTACAGCCTGGGTGACAGGGTGAGATCCTGCTCCTAAAGAAAAAAAAAAAAGAATTTTTTTTGCCCCTCAAAAAACAATTTTTGCCTCCATTGAGAATGCATGCTCCGTGCCATATCAGGATCATGAGATAGGTACTCATGACATTTTGATGATCCCTAACATTTCAAAAGATCGAATTTTTCAATCTTTCCGGTATCATACATAGTTAACCAAAAATAGCTCTAATTTTAAACTTTAATATTTCATAATCCTTGACTTGAAATTTCAGTTTATGAAGTTTCATGGTTTATTTTTCATTATTTCATACTATGTGCAAACTGGCTATTTGTATTTAATCAGAGATAAGAGAAAGAGAAATTCCGTCAAAGGATTTTCTGGTCTTTTAAAATGCGTTAGAAAATTTTCCCCGACTGATCCAAGGCTTTGAAAGTCCTTAGTAATACTAACAGGAGAGTATCTCGATGATACCTGTTTACTACATCATCTATATTTTAAATATGTTCGTTAGAGAATATACTGCAGATAAGTAATGGGTGATTCTTTTTAGTGGAGACTTCATCATAAAACATTTTACCTACAAGACACTTTACCCAGAGCTATTTTAGTTGTTATTACGACTTGTAGAGCTTTTATATATTTATTTTATTTATATGTATTTAAAGTTTTAATTACTTTTCCCAGTGTTTTTGTTTTTCCCAAACCTATTTTTATTTTATATCAAAATGTGATATTTGCATTATCTGAATGTGGGTGGAATTCCTGAGGCTGTGGAATAATTTAAGTTCTTAATTAGAAAATGCTTGTTGCTATTAAATAGGTAAAAACCAATTATTACCCAGATCTGCTTAGTACCTCTTGGTTTATGGCCACTTTTTCAGAGATCTTGCAGCTGCTATAGATCGAATGGACAAGTATAATTTTGATACAATGATATATGTGGTAAGTAATCAGAACAAAAAGTTATGACCTCTAACTCGTGAAAACTACAGAGGTAGAAATTTGATGCCATCTTGAAAAACTATGGAAAAAGTTGTCAAACTACAGAGAGAAGTCAACATTTAGTTGACTTTTTAAACATGTTTAAAAAGGGCAACTTCTATTATTTAAATGTTTAAAAACTTAAAAATAAAAAAGTTTACATTGATTGCTTCATAGTAAGAAAAAATTACCTGAATCAATAAAATGGTTATATGAAATTAACCATATATACAGGTCACTATAATGCCAAGTTTTTTTGTTTTTTATTTTTCAATTCTGATTTGGGCTTAACAGTTGTTTTTAAATAACTTTATTTTGAAGAAGTAATTTAATACTCAAAAGAAGTTTAAAAATAGTACAGTATTTCCCCCCAAAGATAATATATAACCATAGTACTTTTTGTTAATCTCAGGAAATTAACATTGGTTGAGACCTTATTGAAATTTCACCAGCTTTTACATGTACTTTCCTGTCAATGTTTATGTAGGTATGGTTTTATGAGACTTTATCACATGTGTAGATTCATGTAACTACCACCACATTCAGAATATAGAACTGTTCCATCACAAACTCCCTCATGTTGAACCACTTAATAATCACACCTTCACCCCAGTCCTAACCCCTTGCACCCACTGCTCTGTTCTTTAGCACAATTTTGTCATTTTGAGAATGTTGTATAAATGGAATTATACAATATGTAATCTTTGAAATTGGCTTTTTTCTCTCAATATAATGAATGCCCTGGAGAGTCATCCAGGCTGTCCTGTGTGTCAGTAGTTTGTTCATTTTATTGCTGAGTGATATTCTAGTATCTTTTCCCCTTTCCTTACTTACCATGTGAAACCGTCCTTTCCACTTAGAAGAAAAGTGGTCATCAGATATCTATTTAGAGCTTACCTTTGGTCTGAGAAACCAGGGTCATAATAGCTGAGAGGGAAGAAATTGAAACAGAATACTCACAAGATTGAAGTTCACGTTTCCTCCTGACTCCGGGGAGTGCTATGGCTCTCATTTCCCTCCCTTGTAGAGCACTCCACTTAGACATTCTTCTCGGGACATCCTGTTTGTGGACATCCTGTTTGTGTTTACTTAAAATGTATCGAATGACAATGACTTTAGTCTGTCAAACCTCAAATACCTTAATTTGATTCAAGTCCAGCCTATTTTTGTATATTGTCACTGTTCTTTTATTTTACATCTATTTTCTTCCCAAGACAGATAAAGGACAAAAAAAGCATTTTCAGCAAGTATTCCAAATGCTGAAGCTCATGGGATATGACTGGGCAGAAAGGTAATGTCTGTGTGGTTCTTAATTGCCTGTTCAGGGTCAGCAGATCCTGAAAATGTACTTAGTGGTTAAAGTTTTTTACTCAAATTTCAGTTCTTTGTTTCAAGATACTAATATGGAAAAGCAGACTTGATTTTTTGTATTATGTTTGGTTATAATAATTTCCAGCTTATAGACTTTTTTTTTGAGACTGAGCTTCACTTTTGTTGCCCAGGCTGGAGTGCAACAGTACAATCTCAGCTCACTGCAACCTATACCTCCCAAGTAGCTGAAATTACAGGCATGCACCACCACGCCTAGCTAAATTTTTGTATTTTTAGTAGAGACGGGGTTTTTCTATGTTGGTCAGGCTGTTCTCGAACTCCCGACCTCAGGTGATCCGCCAGCCTCAGCCTCCCAAAGTGCTGGGATTACAGGCGTGAGCCACTGTGCCTGGTCTGAGCCACCATGCCGGGCCCACTTACAAACAGTTAATAGCTGTATTTTTATTAGTTACCTGCTCTCAGTGGCTTAGTTTTCAAAATTCTTAATCCACATCTCCTTTTTCTCCTAAAGAGAGCTAGTAATTTAATCACATATTGGTGATTATCTCTATAAAGTGAAGCTGTGCTTAATGTCCTTTGTAGCATACAAATCATATCAGTTTCATTTTATTAAAAACTCTGCTATGAGGGTTAAAGTTCAAACCACTCTCTGAATGGTATTATATGCTTTCAACAGCAGCTCTTGTTTAGCTTTCAGTTAACTAGATGCCCACTCTTTTAGGTGCCAGCACGTGCCCTTTGGAGTAGTGCAGGGAATGAAGACTCGAAGAGGAGATGTCACTTTTCTGGAAGATGTTTTAAATGAGATTCAATTAAGGATGCTACAGAACATGGCTTCCATTAAGAGTGAATTCAGTTTTTTCTTACTAAAATCATAATTTACATGCCACTTTTATGTTATCCTGGACTTTGGGCAGTGTGATTTATTATGACTGTCCCTCTATTGAAGTGTCACTGACTTTGTCAAAAATAGCTTTCACTAATTAGAGGTGCCAGAATTTTTATACTTGCTACTCAGGAATTGGTCGCTTCAATAATCTGAATTACTGTAACCTTGGTCCTCTTTTCATGGATAGCTAGAGCATTGTCATTCTGTTGTCTGGGTGGTTTCGTGAAGTTTCTGTGTTATAATTTAGATACAAGTCACAAGTTCTTGTGACTTTAACCTTCACCCTTGGAAAACTAAGTATCAGATATATATAGTATCAGAAATCCAAATATATTTTTCCAACAAATATTTTTTGAATAAATAAATTTGGATTTCTTCCCTTTTAATGTAGGCAGGGGAAATGTCATTATCAAAGGTAAAATAGCCTAAATGAGGAAAGTAAATTGCCCACTCTGAAACTGTTCTTCATTGTCAGCATGTTTTGGCAGATCTTATCTTCACCTTGATCCATGATTGGCACAGTGTCATGTAGGCTAAAGATAGCTGCCTTTGTGTATTTCAGCAACTAAAGAACTCAAAAACCCACAGGAGACTGCAGAGAGGGTCGGACTTGCAGCACTCATTATTCAGGTCTGTTAAGACTCCTATCTGTGAGGCCCTTTGTTTGGGACTAGAGCAAATCCCAGCAGTGAAGATTTTCTCTGTCATTTTTAGGACTTCAAAGGTTTACTCTTATCTGACTACAAGTTCAACTGGGATCGTGTTTTCCAGAGTCGTGGGGACACAGGAGTCTTCCTGCAATACACACACGCCCGCCTCCACAGGTGAGAAGAGGCTGCAGGGAAACCTTGTGCTGCACTGTCATTCCCCAGGCTAGGTCCTGAAGGGTGTGATTCTAAGACCAGACACCCTGTTTTCTGGGCTTTTTCAATATCATCTATATTGAACACCTATATAAGAAATGCATTTACATGTATTGTCTTAGTCCTCAGAATAACCCTGCCAAGAATATACTGTTACCTCCATTGTGTAAGGTTAAAGAAATAGATTTAGGGAAAACTAAAGTATCAAATCAAATAGTGTTGGCATCAAAGTCTAGGGCTATATTAAGGAGACCAAAATTGTGTATTATAAGGTGATGTTCATCACTTGCAGCACTGTGCCCTTGTATGTCTTTTTAATCTTTTGATGTTTTTAACTTTAAACTGTTGATAACAGTTTGGAAGAGACTTTTGGATGTGGTTACCTGAATGACTTCAACACTGCTTGTTTACAAGAGCCACAGTCTGTTTCAATTCTCCAGCATCTTCTCAGGTATGATGTTTTCCAGGGATCAAGTGTGCCTCTGCTTATCAAAATGGCAATTGGCATTTTTGCTGCCCAGTAGAATCAGCAGACCAGTAGCTTAGCTCCTGCCTCTAGACTTTTCCCAAAGGTATGCCTAAAAAGTGATTATTTGCCTTCTGAGGGCAGGCAGAGGCCATAGAGTAAGCCAATGCTCAAGGACAATCTGGGTCTTCAGAATATCACTGATGAATTAGCACACATCTAGTTGCCTCTAGTTCACATAAAGCCTGATGAAAGCATAACCTTTTAGTTTGAGAAAGAGGATCTTCTTGCCCTCTGTGATAAATGAAGGAAAATACCTGCCTTTGTGCAGCTTCCTAGAGACCGTAAGTCCTCCATTTGCCTCTTGGTTTCAGTTCACAGTCTCAAATACATGTATATATCTGATGCTCCTGCACTAGACAAGAGACCACACATTTTAGTTCTGATGGGCATTGTTGGTGAAGGGATTAGTCTCTAGAAGACATGGGGGTAGTTATGAACAAGGCAGTTTTCTTTGATTGCCAAATAGTAGTCAGTGGTTTTTTCCTGGGATCCGAAAAGTTTACCCACATGTACAATAGCAAATGTGAGGAAAAATAAGCCAACCAGGTATTCTTAGCATTGAAGGTAGACTTTGCTAGTTTATATTTTATGTTCCTAAACATTGGCTGGAGGCTTTTTACATTCAGCAGCCATGATTTAACTTTTTGCTGTGGACTAGGTCTAGGGAATATCAAGATGATTTAGAAAGTCCCTGCCATCAAGGAATTTGTAAGAAAGAAAAATGTTCCTTTGCCTTCAAATGTACACACTTTTTCATATATATATATATATATATATATATATTTTTTTTTTTTTTTTTTTGAGAGGGAGTCTCACACTGACACCCAGGCTGGAGTGCAGTAGTGTGATCTCAGCTCACTGCAGCCTCCGCCTCCTGGGTTCAAGCAATTGTCCTGCCTTAGCCTCCCAAGTAGCTGGGACTACAAGCACTCACCACCACGCCTGGCTAATTTTTGTATTTTCAGTAGAGACAGTGTTTCACCATGTTGCCCAGGTTGCTTTCGAACTCCTGACCTCGTTATCTGCCCAACTCTACTTCCTGAAGTGTTGGGATTACAGCCTTGAGCCACTGCACCTGGCCATACCCACTATTCTGAATCATGTCAAGTCAGTCTGACATTTACGATGTTTTAATGTCTAATATTTTACTTTAGTGTAACGTGTAGTCCTTTTCTGTTCACTGTTATGGTCATCTTTTAGGTTCGACGAGGTGCTTTATAGATCATCTCAAGACCTTCAACCCAGGCATATTGTCAGTTACCTTCTAACTTTAAGGTACTTTATAGTCTTCCTGTTTTCAGGTGTTAATGACATTTGAGACTTTTCTTTCATCTAAACGTTTCCTATAAACAAATTCCTTGGCCTAAAATCTGTTGTGCTTTTAGTTACAGAAATTATTGCTTCATTTATACAAATTAGCAGTTAATGTTCCTTCCTTCATTCAGTGATACAAGGTAGTGTCACTATAGTCTAGAGAATGGGAACTGACAACTACACAGTTACAGCACAGTGCATGTGTGTTAGAGTGAACATAAGAGACAGTGTTAGGGCAGCCAGCCCAGCCTTGAGAGATCAGAGAGGGCTTCTCAGAGGAAAGGAGATATTAATCAGGAAAAGCAATGTGGCTGGGAAGAAGGAAAAAGGCCAGCGTCGACCAAGAACATAATACATTTTTAAAGGATCCATAAGCATTGTCCTGGGAGGGCTGATAAATAAAGCGTGTATAAACCTATTTGCCATGCACTGAGGCATTTAGACTTATTTTGAGGGCAGTGGGGTCCATACAGGGATTTTAAGCAGAGGCACACAAAAATAAGCTAGAAAAATTGTTCTAATCTTTAATGACAGTTTCATGGCGTCTGTTTTAGAAACTTGGAATCGAAGTTGAGTCCACTCTTATATAGCAGCAGTTATATCTTCCCATAAAGCTATTTAACAAAGGAAATTTTGCTTTTATTCAACATTTATTGAAATTAGACAGTTATCAGGACTGTTTTCTTGATATGCTTTTTACCTTGTCTTCCCTAGATTTATGTAAGGTTTTTGTTCTTCCTTTAAGTGACACTTAAAGCATACAGAGGTAAAGAAGCCACAAAGTCTTATGAAATGTCATTTTATCATTAAAACTGATGTCTTCAGTATCATTTCTCTAGCACATTGTTCTACTTGCTGCCATACCTAAATTTAAAAGACGCTTTAAAGAAGGGTGGCCAGTATGTGTGGAGAGTGGATAGTAACTAGTCTCTACCCCACCTCACTGTACAGAGGGAAAGTCCATGCTGTGTTATACATTTGATTGTAGGCTGCCTAAATTGAGGAAAAATGATTAGAAAAGAATCTCCAGTATTTGTAAAATTAACAGTGAAATCATAACCTTAAGAATTGCCCACCTCTTAGTAGTAGAGTAGGGCCAAGATCTAAAGCTTGAGTTTTAAATTCCAGTTTCAGCTTTACAATTCTAAATACATCCTTTAATGGTTCTGGACTTCTTTGAGGAAGTAAGATTACGTATTAAGCTCACATGTTACAACAAGAAATTACTGCTGGTGCTATCATGATTTCTCTCGTTTCAGTCATCTTGCAGCCGTGGCACACAAAACACTACAAATAAAAGATAGTCCTCCTGAAGTGGCTGGGGTACGTTATGTTGAATGTTTTCTGTATAATCTCTAGCTTCTCAGACTAATATTACACTAAGTCTTGTAAAATAGCATTCTACTGTTCAAATGTAGCAGTATACTTCCTCAGCTAATAGACTCTAACAATCAATGTTTATATACTTCCCAATATGCTAGACTGAAGCATTTTCCTACATGAAATATTATAGTGATAAAGTCACCTTATCCGAAGCCATACTGTGTGATGATACTCTCACTCCTACTCCATGACATCCCATGTACAGGTCTTACTGTAAGGGATGCTAGGAATTTATCTTCTCTTGCCTATGATAACTGTACAGCACTTTGACATACTGTTCCTGCTTTAAAGTTAGAATTACCTTTAAAACCATTCTCATGAATTTACTTATAGCTAGGCTGTTGTTGAACATTTTAAGTCATTCTTTGATTTCTTTTGTAGGCCAGACTTCGTCTTTTCAAAGCTGTCCGTTCTGTCCTAGCCAATGGAATGAAACTTCTTGGAATAACACCTGTATGTAGGATGTAATTTCCAACTAAAATGGCTTTTAAAATGTCAAATGAATTCTAGTTATCTGTTCTATCTTACTGTTAAGAATAAATTTAAACTATTATTCTATATAGTTTATAGGTATCAGAATCTGTATTTTAAAGTATGACTTGTCAAGTTATTCAGCCTTTATCCTTAAATAAGTCATCTGAATTCTCTCATGGTCAGTAGGTATTTAAATAGACATTAAGTTTAAACTTTTTAAATCCAAAGCATTGTGGCCTAATTGGGGCTAAAAGGATTTGAGTTTAAACATTGGCTTGAAATTTCTTACCATGTCATTCTCCAGAAACTATTCTTATAACTGAAATGATTTTTAATGTTTTCATAAAATTGGTGGGGGGGTGGAATCTCAATTCTCTTGTAACTGTGGATAGTTTGGAATAAACATAGGGAGATCAAAAATAAGCATCTTTCTGTCAATATAGCTGACAACTACTTCCAGAGAGAATAAATCTCATGCTTCCCTTTGAGTTAATATATACAGGTAACTCTTACTTTGTGAACTCAGGAACTAAGTACATTTTAATAGCAGGGAATTACTTGTAAAGACATTGAATTAGAATCTTTTTGTAAAATGTCGTCCATTAATTCAACCATAATTTGAAATGGAGTTTCTTATAGTTTCCTTCATGTATCTTCATATTGGTAACATACATTTTGTGTGGCTTCATTAGCTAACATGAGCATGGCTTAGGCAACAAGAGTAGGATACGGTGTGTTTGATCAATATGGCCATCCTCAGCACTTCCATTCAGGTCTGCTATAATTTATTCTAAATTGTTGCTAATAGTAGTCTTTTGAATACCAGCAACCAGTACTGTTTTTATGAGTAGAAAAGCAAATTAGCACAAACTGAAGCTTTTGTAGTTGGAGTGAAAATTGTTTCATATTAGCAATTATGGCTTACCTTCTTAGTCCTAGAAAAGATTCAACAGTTCCAATTTAAGTGAATTAGCTTCCAGATAGCAAATTTTCTTCTTAGTGTTAAATTTTTCTTAGCATAAGCCAGCCATGGCATAAAAATGTAAAGTAGGCACATGTTTTACACATCCAATATCCCTCTCTACTTGTTTGAAGAAACTTTCTCCTCCCAAGATCAGTAGTGTCTTCCTGAGTATTTGAATCTTGAGTGAAATCACACAGGAACAGTCATGGGTAGAGTCCAATCTTTTAAAAGCTGGAAAGACTGTTTATTAATTCTTAGAAGCCAGACTCCTATAGCCCTGATTGTGGACCTTCTTAAAAAGTGTTTTTTGCCTAAGGCTTGCCAGAGTTGATTTGCAGCCAGAGAACCGTAACTATACAACTCCACATATGGAAAATACAAGTTTATTATCTTAATGGTCATATCTATAATATAAAAAAGCGATTAAACAGAATTTATATAAAGATGTTTACTGCTTAATTTCCCCATTAACATTATAGAAATGTTTTTAAAAACACTGAAGTTTCACAAATTATTGAGCCCAACAGTTAAACATACTTTATTTTAAAAAGTACAAAAGTGACATTAGAAATTTTTTTTTGAAGAAAAGTGTATTATCTAACAGCAAAGAAATATGAACCAGACAATGAATGGCACAAATATAGCACTAAAGGGGTACTCAAGTCACCACCCAGAAGTCATTGTCTGAGTTATGAAATATAGATTCATTTTGAGAGGTTGCACATTGTTTCTAAACTAGCCTGTCTTATTTCTGCCTCTTGTAAGAAAAAAGCTAGGTCTTTGCTGCTGCTAGGACAAAATACTGTACATGAATAGGAGAACAAGGAGAGGTCATCCTTCTCCCCTGGTACCTGAACAAGAGAACAGTTAGTACAGAAATGGCTTTGGCACTTTAACCCTTAGACATTGTCCCAAACTTTGTTACTTGAATATTGTAGCCTCACATGATTTTTTTTTTTTAACACTACATCATCTCCATACTTTTTATGTACAAATTATATATAAATACACAGTAATAAAATTCCTTCATTCTAAAACAATATAGTTTGACCCCAAACAGGTCCACACTAAGTTTCTGTATTAACAATTCACTCAAATAGCTTTTTTGATTTCCACATACAGCACTGATCTTAATTCTTATGCCATACAGTTAATTTGTTACTTGTTTATGCTACCTTCTGGGATTGACTTAAGGCTCTAATGCTAAAGGTTTAGTCTTAACAGGAGTCTCACATGAAGCTAAAATCACACACCAATAACTCTCTCCTTTGAAGCTGTTTCTCCTTGTTGGATGGATGTAGTATCTTGTCTGGGTAATCCATAGAGATATATGGAAACACATACGAGAAGAGTACCAAGAGCAAAGGTGAGTGCTGGAAAGAAAAAAAACAGCTTTATCCATATGTATGTCTTAAAACTGCCTAACAATGATCAGTTTAAAATTTTGAAAACTCTTAATTGTGGGTTAACACTGTCAGATGATATTTTAATGATGGTAAGGTTTAGAAAGGTCTTCCATTACAGCAAAAAAAAAAAAAAAGGAGGGGGGAGGCAGGACAGGTAAAATCAAGGCAGTGTTAATTACTGACTATAGACTTTTTAGAATATGAATATGCCTACCTGACACTATCTGACCACTCTAACAAAGAACATACTAATTTCCTTATTAAGTATAAAATATAAGTACAAAAGAAAATGTGGTAGGATTGGCTTTTCCATGACACCAGAAACCTGTGAAAGTTCAGAGTAAAAGAAAGTTGAGCAAATTTCAGTTAGGTGACCAATCATTCAAACCATTGATAATTTCTTAATAGTATATGCAGCAATAATTTACTGAATAAAACTACATTGCCTACTAGTTTTAACCCTTTTTTAATCTTCATTTTAAACATCATGATATAAGAAGCCGAATTATAACTTGTCCTAACTTGACAAATATATGATATCAAGCTTTATTTTAGTTCACTCCTAACTAAAAAAAGACCAGCTTTGCCTTCAAAAAAGGGGAATGTAAGATAAAAACTTAAATCTAAACAGTTAACTGAAAGATTGCTAAGACATGCTAGTTGACCATTAGTAAGAACATTAAACTGTTCCTATATACTTCTTACGAGCAATGGTATAAGGACTTTGTTGAACATAAAGATAGATCAGAATTAGAACTAAAAGTTCACCGACATCAGGCAGAAAAACATCTAAGGGAGAGACGGTAAATACCAGATACTGAAATGGTAAGTGGTGGGTAAGTAGTGCCAGGCACTACTCAAGCACTTCACCTGAAAACCATCCTAGTCAATAGGTGATATTATTCCCATTTTACAGAGGAAGAAAGTGTCACCCAGGATACATAAGTTCCCCCAGATTGCACAGTTAATAAATGGTACAGACAAGATTTGCCACACACTATAAATGGTTTTCTAGGATTTCTACAACACTGACATTTCCCTATTTCCATTTATAGACAGGAGTCAATTTAAAAATGAAATGTAAATATAAGCCAGGTCACTTTTACTTAATACAGATATTCTTCAAATGTTGGTTTATAATAGTTGATCAGTAAAGAAAATTATTACACTATAAAAGGACCCTGAAATGTTAAGTCAATATCATTGCTTAAATAATTTAGAAGCCAACTTAATGTTGGGTGTGAGTTGGGAAAATTATATTAGGACTAGCAAAGCAGTGGTACTGGAATGCCAGCTATAGTAATGAATTTTGTATTAATTACATACTGAATGAAGCAAAGATATAAAAGACAAAATCTAGATTTTGACTTTGTTTTCAAAACCATCTCAAACCCAATTCCTAAGCAGCTGGAAGGTACAACCTGAGGGGGTAATAAAGGATGTTTTCTACATTTTTCTAATTAATGAGCCAATATAGTTTAAATTGACTGCTGAAAATAATTTCCTAAAGTCAGCTGGGCGCAGTGGCTCAAGCCTGTAATCCCAGTACTTTGGGAGGCCGAGGCACATGGATGATGAGGACAGGAGTTCAAGACCAGCCTGACCAATATGGTCAGTAAAACCCCATGTCTACTAAAATTAGCCAGGCATGGTGGTGCGTGCCTGTAATCCCAGCTACTCGGGAGGCTGAAGCAGGAAAATTGCTTGAACCCAGGAGGCAGAGGTTCTGGTTAGCCACGATCACGCCACTGCATTACAGCCTGGGCAACAGAGCAAGATTCTGTCTCAAAAAAAAAAAAAGAAAAATCAACAACAAAAAAGGCCAGGAGCAGTGGCTCACGCCTGTAATCCCACGCCTCTCAATCTCTGCTTGAGAGGCTGAGGCAAACAGATCACAAGGTTAGGAGTTTGAGACCAGCCTGACCAACATGGTAAAACCCCGTCTCTATTAAAAATACAAAAATTAGCCAGGCATGGTAGCAAGTGCCTGTAATCCCAGCTACTTGGGAGGCTGAGGCAGAAGAATTGCTTGAACCCAGGAGGCAGAGGTTGCGGTGAGCTGAGATCGTGCCACTGCACTCCAGCCTGGGCAACAGTGAGACCCTGTCTCAAAACAAAACAAAAATTGTAATTTCCTAAAGTCTTTATATGTATTTCCCTGAGTACCTTCTCACATTCAGTTACTGAAGTTGTCCTATGTATAATACTTAAAAATACAGGGAAGCCCTGACTACAAAAAAAAAAAAAAGCCCCCTCACTTTCACATAGAACCAGTACCCCTTGTCTTAAGCTCTAGGACCACTTAACGAAAGTACTGCTTAGCAACATTCCACAAAACTATGAACAGCTGTACTGGTGGAATGAATCAAGGAAATGAGGGGCTCTTCCATGTTAAAAACTCAACACAAACTAAGACATACTTATCTGTAATCCAAACAGCATTACTGAAGCAATGGTGGAAAGGACAATGGCCGCTGCTGCAGAAAAGCCTTTCATGATGTTGTCTGTATACTTAACCACAACAGAAGTGTAGAGGCCACCAACACTTGCAAGAACTTGCATACAGAAAGAAATAAAATCTTAACACTCAAATAAATGAAACATTCCATAATGGTGAGGCAATTTTCATTCCCAGAGATGCCATACTAATTTACCTAGGAAAAGGAAAATACTATTTTCCTTAGAAGGAGTCATCTGAGAGAGTCTGTACTACA